TTAAATATATATATTTATTTACAGTATATTGCCTTCTTTATATTTCATCTTGGATAATTTAATAGTCAGATATTTTACAAATATTTATTAATTTGTCAGAAAAAGATGGGTTGGTTGATGTAGAAAAAGTAACTGACTATATTATTGATATTATATTTGCTGCTATACATACAACTTCACAAACTATTACAAATGTTCTTTATGGTAAGCTATTCTTTAATAAATTTATAAATATAAAATGTCCTTATACAGTAGTTTATAATATTGCTTTTTTTTTGACAGAGTATGGTGCCCGCCCCGAATATTGGAAAGAGTTGCTTGAAGAAAATGAAAGAATTTCATGTGAAGTTAAAGATGGATACTTGACTCGTCAAGATGTTAAAAAAATGATTAAATTGGATAGTTTTATAAGGGAGACTTTAAGAATTTGGCAACCAATCGGTAAAATTCTTTTAATTCTATTATTCTATTGTTAATCATTTCAACAATAAATTTATTGTAACTTATACCATTATACTATTATATCATTTAACTATTATACCATAGTTGGAATAGAACATAAAACTCTTAATGACTCTTTTACATTCTCAAATGGTTATCAAATCCAAAAAGGTAATATATATTATATAATTTGAATTGAAATTTGATTTGAATTTAATAATCAAATATTATTATATATAATAAATTTTTATAATTTATAATTATATAGGCAGAAATGTTTTTTTGTACTTAGCAGAGATTCATGGCACTGATCAAAATGCAAATATATTTGATGGTTTTCAACACATTGAAAAAAACACTCAAGCTACAAAAACGGGAAGAGAATATGTCCCATTTGGTTTAGGGAGGCATGCATGTTAGTACACATATTGTATATATATTAATACCCAATATATATTTATATTCAAGATTATTAATTCCTAATTACTCTAATTTTATACATTTAATTCTAATTCTAGGTCCTGGCAGGTTTTTTGCATTGCATCTTATTAAGATTACAATGTATTTATTAATTCAAAAATATAAAATTGTGACTGAAGGTAGAAATATTATTAGACCAAATTATGCAGGTTCTTTTAATATTCCTAATAGTGAAGGATTAATTTTTGAAAATCTATGAAATATAATTACAAGCTTTTTGGTAACTATTAATTGAATCGTATTTGATAGTTTTTTAAATTAATCTGCCAAATATAAATATTTTATTATCTTATGAATATAAAATTAGGTACAATATTACGATTGCTTAAACCATAAAAATGATGTAAAATTCTTTTTTAATCATCTGTCGAAAAAACTTTTTTAGTTTATACCAACTCTAAACTCTTTATGTCTTGACATTATTAAAATTTTCATTTTTATAGTTCTTAGTTCACTTCACTCAAGCATCATTCTTTTTATATTGTTTATTGATAATATCACTAATTTTTAGCCTTTACGATCAATAATAATCGATCTATCTTATAAAAATCTAAAAAAAATAATAAAAAATGCTGAAA